CTTGTTCTATTCTTATGCCATATTGCGTGAACAGTTAACGGTTTCGTCCTCATCCGTGGATTGGTGAGGCTTAGGCATATTATGACAGCGACGATCCAATGTTCTCACAATTATTTTTCAAAACCAACTTCGGTTAGGCCACTCTAAATTTCACATACCTCTTTGGTATACTTAAAATGATAGCTAAAAAAGAGAATTTTCAAAAAATCTTTAACTGGGACTAGAACCCAAGATCTCCAAGTTGCCGATCAAGCGCGAAAACCACTTGGCCACGGAGACCTGGGATTACGAGTTGGGATTAGCTAGGGTTAACCCTAACCTTAGGGCTAATCCTGGGGTTAGCTTCTATTTTTCAAAACCAATTAGGGTTAGCTGAGGAGAAGGGTCCTAGCTTGTTCAAAGATATGATTTCCGCATATGAAATGAAAGAGCACTTTGTTGCGTATCTTATCAACACAAATAGGTCAGGAAAAAGATATCACAGAGTGCTTTAATGGCCCACAATTAAGTTATACCCTTCTCTCTAGTGGCTACTAAATGGTTAAAATTGGGACAAAGGCAATTAGGGTTAGCTAGGGTTAAGCCATTGTATATTTCACAGGCCTCTTTGGTATACTTAAAACGATAGAAAAGACAGTGTTTGACTTGTTAAAAAACATTTTCAAAAAATCTTCAAATGGGACCCGAACCCACGATGTTGCCGAGCAAGCGCGAAAACCACTAGGTCACGAGTTGGGGTTAGCTAGGGTTAACCCAAAGTCCAGGGTTAATCCTGGGGTTAACTCCTTTTTTTCAAAAACCATTGGTGAGGAAAAAGATAACACAGGGGCCTAGGGTTATGAGTTGGGGTTTACTATATTAGCTCAGAGTAGCTTGATTTTGATCTCTTAAATGCGCCATAAAGAAGAAATATTCTTCTCCAAATGTGTTGAAATTGGGAAAGGCAATTAGGGTTAGCTAGGGCTAGCCCATTCTATTCATCATAGACCCCTTTGGCCCTTTTGAATATTTTGTATTCTTGAAATGACAGAAAAGACGGTGTTTGAATCTTCACTTTCAGCAAGCTGAAGGCCCATTATGAAAGTAATATTAAACAAATAGATATATTGAAAGACTTTATTCATATACCTGGTGACAATGGCTATAGGGTTAAATGGCCCCTGCCGTCCTGTCGACAGATTCAAAATATATGATAACAAGTAACGATAACAGTATTCAATTTGACCATAGTTACAATGTTGAAAGATAACAACAACATTCAAACAACAAAACATTTTCATTAATTTCACTTTTTTTATTAACAACATTTTAATCCAAGATGCTCTAAAAAATTTCACCAGACTCTTCCCAGAAGGAGTTATTTATGACAATTTTACACTTACTGTATAAGATCAATTCCATGTCCATGTTTTAACTAAACAACTATCCACAGGACCATTATCAGAAGTTCACGCTTAAAATTTCTAGCTATTCATTTCTAGCTATTCGAGCATCTCAGATTAAATTAGAATTGAGACAAGTTATGTATAGAACACAATAAGTGTCAAGTTTTGTGTACATTTTATACAAGAGAATACAAAAATAAATCCATGTTCTTGTGAAGTAATATAATCCAAAACACCCATTCCTACAGGTAAAATGAACTAATGTTTCAAGATGTTACACTAAATCTGTCATTTCAAAATCATTTGATAACAACCTAGGTTTTCTCACTGTTCTTGGTTGTGGATTATAAGAAAACTACAATAAAACAAAGTGAATTGCTGTATAAGTATTTCAATCTGACTGGCTGAAATATTTCCAGTTTTCAATGAAACTGCTCAATCATGAAGGTTTCAAGAACTTTCTCCAGGGTGACGATTATATATATACCACATATAAAATGAGCACTTAAGAACAAACTCCATCACAATCGAAATAGCCACAAAAATTAAAATCAATACAATAAGAATTGATTTGTCATCAATATGATCAACACTAATAGTGAAATGCAAATTTCAGTTCAAGAGACATGTGAATGAGTTCCTATAATTTAAGTAAATCTTAAAGATGCTTTTTCCTTATTTGATTCACCAATTAATTAAAAATTATGAAAAATAGCACAGAAAACTTTGTCGAATGTATTGGACATAAAAATCTTATGAAACTTTGGAGTACTTGGACATAATAATCTAATGAAACTTTGAAGTACAATTAAATTTACAGAAATATATTCTAGTATTAAATGTATGTTATGCTTTTCATAATTTCATTCAGAATGTTTGAAGAATGAATTTTTATTAAGCACCAAATAAGGCAATCTTTGATCATTATTTTGGAAAAAGAGTACTGTACCTTCAATGATGTCTAGTTAATACAATGGATGATATTGTTTCTATATACAAATAATGCACAAGATATTTTTTAGACCAAACACACGATTTATAATAATAATTATATCTTCCATCTTTATATATATTTATACTGTACAGTATTTACATTGATAATATAGGATATATATTTATATATATGGTCACAAGAGATATAACTCTATAATACAACAGTACTTTGTCAATGTCTTATTGTCTTAACATTATTGATAATGTTCATTTTGAATTCATTTCTCAAAGAACCCATTCAAAAACTCAGTTGCAAACAAACCATCGTAACCAAATCCTATCAAAACATCTGATTGGTCAAAGGCAATGAAGTTGCCCAATCAAATTACAGAATTTTCAAATATTATCATCAGACAACAAGCTTCCTTGTATAACTTAGTCACGTTGAACAAAATTCAAAACTGAATATAGCCTTCTTATCTCTGAAAGTGCTAGTTAAGCATCCACTATGTCCATATCTCAACCATGAAAATATTTCAAAACTTTTAAAAGCATGAACAGTATCAATAATGTCAAAATTTAATAATTTAACAAAGTTCCAAAGACAAACAATGTTTACAAAAATAGTCTTATGATTATTAACATAGATAACATTTGATAGATTAACATTTTATATAGTGAACAATTCATAGTTTATACTTATCTAACAAACAAAACAGGTAACTTAACATCTAGGATAAATCAAAACTTTTATTGATGCAAGATGTCATTGTGAGTTTTGAACCACATACAAAATCTATAAATGTCCCAAAAAATTAAAGCGTTTTGAATAATTTACTCGTATAATTATATCAAAGCTTGCAAAATTGCAATGACAATTTCAAAAGTTGAAATTGAAACATAACCAAGAGTTTCTTCGTTAGATACAACACTATATTTTGGTAAATTCTCCACTTCTAAATACATGAAAGCTTTCTGTGACAATTTATAAATGTAAGCATACCCTAAACTTAGTTTTATCCTCTTGTTAAGATCATTTACTGATATTTTTTAATTTATGATAGGTATGTGTTTGTAGGTGATATTTTTAAGAACACAATATCATTCCCTATAATTCAATCAAGATATTTTTACACAGCATGGAAGTTTTCAAAGATAAACCAGTACAGTTCATTTTATTATGGGGGAAAAAAAACATAAACATTGACAAAGCTATGTTTTTTACTTAAACTACCCAGAAATAAATTGGACTGTACAGGATTATTTTTTTTTAATCATATTTAGATGTGTATAATATATATGCTGGACTATAAATGGATGTGAAAATACAATGACAGAACACCAAAGATAATTATCAAATGTGCATGATCATAGTAAAAGTTGAAAATGTTATATCCAAATATAGACAAAAACAGAACGTTTGTTACAATAACAGACAAATCAAATTCAACAAATAACAATAAAACATTTTTTATCACAAATAGAAACATGAACAGAAAACTTGTCAATGACTTTTAAAATATAATTCATGAACATAATGAACACACAAATTAAAACAGATTCGAACGTAACATCACAATAACAGCAAGTAATGTTTTAGGACAATTCACTATATATATATGCCCATTTTCTGATGAGGTACAAAGAATAAAACTTGCTAGAATCACTGTGTTTCATCAAACAACTTAACATGTGTAAACTACATTCCATTTCACCGAATATCAGTTGCAGGAACTTTCCAAATTGATCTAAATTTCAAAAACAATTTGACAATATCAATTATATTTGATACAACATCTAAATTATATCAAGAAAACCAAAAAATTCAATAAACTTAAAAACATTGAGATTGAAAATGTCAAGCAATACCAAATTTATACATGATATATAAACAAAAAAACACTGGCCACACAGCTTTCTATTCAAATGTTCTTATCCCAAATTCATTCCAAAAGACCAGCATAAATATATCTGCTCATTATATGGGTGTTTAACTGGAGTAGTCTCCCTTGAAATGTTTTACAAATGTATGTTAATAGTTTATATGAAAGCTTAGCCAATACACAATTTTATATTTAGGGAATGTGAAATAGTATTGGATGAAAAGTGATCTGATGAAGAATTTGAAAACCTCATGGTAATGGATACTTATTCTTAATTAATTTGAAGGGGTCTGAAACCTTAAACTACGGTGACTTTACATGACAGCAAAAAGAAACGTTAACTTGAAATACAGATTCTCATTGTTGACAAAGCAATCATCAAGAAATGTTTTCATGAGATTTGCAATCTGATGACCTAAAAAAAGAATACACAATGGATATAAAACAAGCTTTCTTCCATTGGTCCTAACAAGATTAAATATAGATACCATTATTACAGTAGTTCATAAAGTCACTATCAATTTCACTGTTTTTTGTCAGAACTTTCACTTTTTATCTGATTTAAGTCCAAACTTTCTGATGTCGTAGTTACTGTTGATGATGATGAATATTGACGTCTTGAATAAGAATCTTGAGTTGTTACAGGTGGACGTGAGGAAACAGGCATAGAACTATGTGATGTTATGCCCTCAGATGACCTGACAGGTTCCGCTACAGAATATGTCGTTTGACCTTGTCTTGATGTTGCTGGTGATGTTCTATCTTGCTGTTCACCTAATTCTGATGCAATCAATAAAGCATCTTTATGAGTTAACGAAACACATTTATCATTTATTGCAAGTTTATGACATTCCAATCCATAGCGTTGAGACGATGCTAGAGGTGAACAGGAAGTCCAACCCTGGTGAAATACGAAAAATGGATGCTCCAGCGTAGCTTCAACTGTTACCTGAAATACACAAGAGAAAAAGACTATCAAAAAATGAGTTCATGCAACCAAAAATCCATGTTTTATGCAGTTTATCATCATTGGTTTATTTTTTCCTTCATTACTATTACTGATAAAATTCATTCAATGTATCTAGGTATAATTCATATATATAAGCTTTTGCCTTTAAGAAAACTTTTTTACAATTTATCATTTTTCATAGACATCAAAACAAAAAATTTCAATAGCTTTGACTATCTGCGAGTCCATGACTGTCATTTACACATATTTTCTGCGTCCCATCTTGTTGTTTCAATGAAAGAGAAATGTCTGTGTTGTCTGTAATGATTTGTATAATGTGTAACCAGGTTGGTACATCATGGTTTATTTTCTCAATCAATAACAGAAAACCCCAGCCAGAACATTTCTCAAATTATTCTCTATTGACAAGACTTTCTTTTATCAATGAAATATTCTCCATCGATTATTTTCAAAGAGGGGAACGTTCAAGGCTATTCCACAAATATAGTCTTGACATAGTCTTCAACATCCAGTCTTGTCAATATCTTCATAGATGTTGACCCTAATGGAGATCATTGAAAGATGTTCAAGGCTACATTACATGAATGCTGTCCTGATCTTTGAGTCACATTAATCAATAGCCATAATGATTGATTCAGATTTAAAGAGATGACCGGTCAACAAATTCTATTGGATTTCTTGTACGAGGATTTCTTAGGTTGTCTGTTGTCTGTGGTATGTCTTACGGCAAGAATTCTGCACTTGATCAACTTTTCCCTCCAAACTTTGTGTCTGCTATATACACAACTTCCACTCAAATCAAACAATTTTTTGTCCTTTACTTTTGTGTTCTCATCTTTCAAGTTCTTAAGAAGAGATCAAGAGTCAGATTTTTTTCCATCTGCAGATATACAGGAAATTTTAACATTGTACACATATTTCTAAAATAATCGGGAGTTTCTTTTCATTGACCTTAAACAGGATAGATCTAAACTCGAATAAACGACAATTTAAAACAGGACCCTTTTGAACAGAGGCCGTAGCAAAACGATCTTATTTAAAACATTGAGTCATCCCAGTGAGCACTCAATCTATAGTTTTGTCATATGTCTAGTTTTTAATCTTGAAAATAAACTCCAAAAAATATGATTTATACCACTACACTACTGAGTACATGGGTACTTTTTGATGCAGTAAGGAAGAGTTTGCTGCTCAGATTCAAAATGACAAGTTTATTTGATGTTAATTGATGCCTGGAGATCACCTCATGATTCAGTTCTTCATCACCAGCCTACTGAGAGTCCCTTAGGACATCTTCCTAGTCTGGTTCTTAGTGGAAGTGGGTGAAAAATCACCTAAACGTACTTACGAGTAACTTTGTTAATTAACATAAAGGTTGGGATTTGTAAGATTAAGTCTTTCTAAAAATCTAATTTCAAATATTTCGTCACATTCACATCTGCTCTTTATCATGTCCGATAGAATGTTCTAAAAATGGACTATATTTGAATATGACTTTCCTTATTTAGCCATGAAAGAAATGATTATATCAAGCATCTATTTCCAGCACAATCGCATTATTTGAGAACTAAAAATAGTGAAAATGTCAATTCCATTGAATACCTTTTAGTAAGAATATAGTTATATATATATACTTGTTACTAATTATAGGTCTTATTCTAATTACAACTCTTGAGAATCTCCATTAGTATATTTATCTTACTTTTCAAAACTCTCCCTCTAGCTCCGTAAAATTTCATTCAAACTTATAACAATTGATTGGATTTAAACCTCACTATAGCAACTCTCTTGTGACGTTTTCTACCATGCCAATAACCTTTCCAGTGGCGTAATAATTTATAAAACCAGAGCTATTTTTAAATCGTGTACGTCAATCGTTAGAACGGTAGTCAATGAAACTTCTACGTTAATGTCTCTTTTAATCTTTTCGATAACCAATTGAAAGGATCTATATTTAGACAACCTACGTCAATAATTCTCCGTTAATAATTCACCATAGTGCGTAAAACCGAGGAAATAGATTGTGGAAAGTGGGGGTGGTTACTAATTCAATCTACACTATTATTGATCTGTTCTTCATCGTTTGGCCGACTAAACTTTTAGTCTTTGTTCTGTGTGAATAGTTGACACTTTATTGTTGTATAATACTTGATAAGTGATTGTCCTACTGGAACAAATCTTAAAAATATTGATTCAGATAATTTTATCCAAGCAACAACTTCAGATCAAATCATATTCGTTGCTACCTTATCCGTGTCTATAAATAATAGGATTCATTTTTATTTTTATAAAGTACTGGTCTGTACTTTTAACTTTGAAATAGAAAAACAATTAAAGCAGATAGAAGCCCCAATACGTTTCACTGCAATATTTATAATTAACCTTATTTACTTTTAAAGAATAGAATGAAGACAAAATTTGTCTATGAAAAGATTTCATAATAAAATAAGATTATCTGTATGCAGTGCACAGGACCTTAAGAAATGAACCTGTAGTACACCCAACAACATTCTACTCTAAATTAACTTTTCTGACCATGGTTGCTTTTAATTTGTCAAATCAATTGCACACTTTAAGATGGGTTCATTTTCAAAATAAGGGGTGCTTCTGTTGCCTTGATCTCCTCCATAATGGTTACTGAGGTTATAAGCAAGGCAGGTAACTGTGGTTACAAGCAAGGCAGGGCATGCTCACCCCTATGGAACATATAATGCCACTCTGTAACTTTACCAGTCACTTGCAAGGTGTCCCATAGCATGTTAATACAGTATATGTTACATTTATGCCTTTGGTAATGTGATAATTTTGCTAGTTAGTAAAACCAAACCACAAGTCAAATTAGCTTTGTTCCACTCTGTCTTAGCTTAACGCCCCCACCTATCATTATTTAAATCTGACCTACTATCGATCAGACGCTTGTCAAGTATCTGAGATTTATCTATCATGATTTACTTTTTCAAGATGAAAATAACCTTCATTAGAACTTCTACATCATTTCTGGTTTGATTTCCTCCCACTGTTGTAATACAAATTGCTGAAAGCTGACCTACTGCTACAGTAATGTATATATATATGTCTAATATTATGTTTAATTATCATGTATCATTGATTATTCTATTTTAATTATTAGACATATGGCTTGTATATCAATTTAGATATTAATAACGCATAACAAATATTATCAAAATGACATTTAAGATTAGTCAAGGATAGTAACATAAAAGATTTATATATGGAAAATTGAACTCATCCATTCATCAAAATAGAATTAATTCAGCTGCATGTATCTGTACCACTTTTCAAAATTGAAATCAGATTCAGATTCAATTTAACAAAAACATAAGGGAGTTAAGACTGTGGTCACTACTTGACCTTTTCTCATTCAAAAGATCTTTATGATAATGATTTATCATTTGGCCTTTTTATCTATTTAACGCTTTTTCTTTTTCGAGAAATCTGTCATGTTGAAATTTTTGAAAAACGATTAACATTTCATCAAATTCTTTGTCAATGATAGTGAACTTGACATTTCAACATTAACCACACACCAACAAGCATTTCATACTTGGCGGTAGATTGTGAAATTCAAAATCACCTCGTTCAAAATAATTTCAAAATATCGTGCCATTTGGGAATGAGAAACTTGTGTTAAGCCCAAGAAATATTACAACAATTAATCTTTTGTCTACCCTTGAACTTGACATTGCGCAATCATCTTGAGAAAAAAAAAATCACATGTGAGAATTGAAAATTGAATGTCAGAGAGATCTGTGTCAAAACAAACATAGCTCCAAAAAATCAGCAAATCTTACTAATACCCTTTCCAGACAGAAATCTTTCATTTTCATTAGAATGTAATAATAGCAACATCATTGAAGATAAGCTTATTAATATTTTTGCGTCCTTTTGATTCAACCTACACAAGAAACTCTTTGTTTCTTTCTAAAGATTTAAGCCAGGCTTTTGTAAACTTGGAAATGCTAAACCAAATTTCACCGTTTTAACAGGTCTGGGATGTTTCCTGGATTCACAGCATAATATGTAATGTTGCTAACCTTAAATTGATAATACTGTCTAGCGTTTAGTCTGAATTATGGAAAAAAAAATTATTTTCAAAAAATCGACATGTTTAACTTTAAAAAATGAAGAATATGATTTAATTTAGAAATGCCTTTTTCCTGGATATCCTTAATCAACAACTTTTGATTTAAAGTTTAATATGAGACATTAACCGCAATTATCTTACTCTAACTTATTTAATGATAGAAACCCTTAAAATAACCCAGACAAGAGAATCCAACACTCCTTGTGGTAATAATAAATCATTTTAAATTCAATATTGCCATATAACTTTCTCTAGTTCATATGGATCAAAACTTTGACATTTACATCTTGCCTGAGGAAAACCCAAAATGGCTACTAAATTTATGTGTTTGGTTTCATTTTATCAAAATGCCATCAGCTGTCTGCAAGTTATTTTTTCATCAATGAAAACAAACCATTAACTGCCACAGGAACTATTACTGACATCATATTATGTATTTGTTACAACCAAAAGTCAAATTCTTTCCAAATGGCCTACAGATTAGAATACAATGTCACAAACAACCATTTTTGGAAAAATGGGAAAGTATCACTCACCTTGACTTTATGTTCTCCAACAGAAAATCCTAAAATAGCAGAACCCCGATCCACATGTTCATCAATTCTAATCACAGTACTTGAGTCTATTTTGAGATCGGGGCTTATATCAGCACTTTGTATAAAATCGGCAGTTTCCAGATCTTCAACTCTTTTTAATTTATTATTTGCTAACTGTATGATAGATCCTTTTTTAAAATGGGGCGGATAATGAAGGTGACGAGGAGGTAAACCTTCATATTCTTCTGGTTCAGAAGGACCAGGTGCTAATCCTGAAACATGTGATTCTGCAGCTCCTCCTACTGATACATGTGAAGAATATCCAGAAACACTTGAACTAGCAGATGGCACAAGTTTTGATCGTTTATGTTCCTCTGTTCGAGAATATTTTGTCTCAGCTTCAGTATCACCGGGTGAATCAAGAGGGCGCTTTAATATTCGGTGTTTTAAACTTCCTTCCTTCCCACTAGGAAATTTGTAAAACAGATCATTTTCCCTTGGACTTGATAATGGTCCTGTGGATTTCCCTGATAAAGGTCCTGAGGAATAACCTAGTGATCGCTCATCACAAAGACCACTACTTGTAGATGTTCCAGATCTATGACCTCTGTCTCCTTCTCTTGCCTCCACTTTGGGAGATCGCTGTCCATGTATCAATGTGTCACTAGAAGGGTTATAACTTCCAGAAGGATGTAATGGACCAGGAGATGAGGCAGAAGTTAAACTACGGTGTGATCCCATTGGAGAATATTGTGGCATTGGAGTGCCAGACATAAAAGGAGTTGTTCGAGGTAATTGGGACTGAGGAGTTGCTGGATTTCCATGTTGAACGTGACTGCCCATACTAGCTAGAACAGCTGAATAAGACTGTATATGAGGGTACTGTCCAGGAGAAATCAGAGATGAACCTTCTGGAGGATAATTGTACGGATTAGCATAAATAGCACTATATTGAGAATGAACGTTAGACACGTGTTGATGTTGTCCATGTATAGAATAGAGTGGTGAATATGGAGAATTACCAGCTAAATATTGATTTCCTGTTAATAATCGCTGGCTACCTTCAGCCATAGTCACTGATGTTCTATAACCACTTGCCGAACTTGAAGCGGGATGAGATAATCTATCTTGTCCTTGACCTTGAAGATGGCCAGCTAAAATACTATCTGCTTGTGTTTGTTGGCTCTGAGAAGGAGTACTAGCATTTGCTAACCAAGGTAAATTTTCATTGGTCGACGAAGAACTGCCAGTCATTCTACCCCGCCCATATCCATTACTGTTCATGTGTTCAGATGATGTTTGGTCATTCTGCACACAAGTCAATTGTTGATTCTCTTTTCCAATGGATTGAAGTTTACCATTCACTTGTTGGTTCAAGTTGTTGTCACCTTTTGTTTCTGAAGCTTTATTATTACTATTACTGTGAAACACAAGCTGATGAAGCTGTTGACCACTAACACCAGTTATAATACTAGAGTTACTCCCCTTGATCAGATGTATATTATGGTTTTTCCATGTGTTGTTATTATTTATCAGTTGAACAATCTGGTTGTTAGGGTCATTATTCTGTTGAGTCTGGTTGCCATGAGATTTGTCGTCTGGTTTGCCATTTGATTCTGAAAAGAGAAAAAAAAAACAGATGCGAATTGATCATGGTTATTATTCATTTCGACAACTGGCACAAAAAATGTATGGTTTTTAATTTGTTTCAGAAAAAAACTCTGAAAGCTCTCTAACCATAAAATGAATTCCCTCCACCCCCCCAAAATACAAACCTTGTAGCCTTTATTAAGTTTATATCAAACAAGAAATGTAGTAGTGTAGAATGAACCAGTATTTACAATACTGAGTAAGCTTAGTCCATGTACCATTTTTATTAAATTCTTCATTTTCAATAATCGATAACTTTGTAATTCTTTACTTTCACATTAATCCTTGCTTAATTTGTTATGTAATAATATAATCTCACGAAATCCTATGTAAATAATATTCTCCATAACTTGAGTGTTCCCATCAAAAAATCTTCAAATCAATTTTTTTGACAGACATTCCTTTATGATTCATGCTTCTCTTATTATTTGTCAAATAAGGTAAAAATTTCACATTTCATTCTTCACTGACATGTAGGTAAAGAAAACGTAAAACTTGTAATCAGCAAAAAAACAGGAAAGAAATATACAATAGAAAGAATTTGAAATATTTCTTCTCATGTCCCGCTCTACCGTATTAAACTTAATAAACAAACACTTCAATATAAAATACATTATGCAAGCTTTACCGAAAAAAATATTTGTCAAATTTAATAGAATTATTCACAGAATTTAATTTATCTTTAATTGAGTAGAGAACTACATATCTCCTAACTTAATTTAGTTATTTAGAACATTATACTGGTTTCATAAGCATTTAAATTTAGAAATACATTAATTAACAGCACACTGTAGTATATAATAAAATATCGTAACTGACAGGGAAATTATAATATACATAATTACTGTTGCAAATAACACATATTATACATAAATAAATTTAGCATTTAAGACATAAAGAAACACATTTCATTACAGTTTTTTTCTGAAATTTCTGAATTTGCTAACGTTGCTTACTCATTTTAAAATTTCTGGATATATTTTTTTTAAATTTAAAATAAGGAAATATCTGTTGTTACTTATAAACTATGTCATTTTATTAGATAAAATATGTATTGCCTAGAATAGTTATTATGTACCATGAAGAAAACACATTATGTACTCTACTATGGTCTCAGGTAAGTACTCAATGATTTTCACATGAATGGATGAACTCAACCAAATTAAAAAAATAGTCCTATGTAACTCTAAAGCCCCATCCACACAAGCAAGTTTCAATGAAAATTCTATCTTCACAAGGACAATAAACCTGCATGGTCTGGAAAATATGACTGAAAACTGTACTTTGAAATAATCAACTCAGAATTTGCTGTCCAATGAAAATTTGACGATTTCAGGGAAAACATTCCAAAAATCAACAATGCTCTACATCTTACATCCTTGTCTAACTGATCTCGTGGAATGAATTTGTTTTGCATTCCTATATTGATTATTTTTTCAAAAATGAGAAACATTAAAACTATTTGAAGTAAAATATTTGTAATAATATACATTTGAGTTTGTGCCAATATTAGAGTCAGTCATTTGATGAATAATAATCATTAATATATTAATATTATTCAAGTTCATTATCATATTCCCATAATATCGTCTGTAACAGTATTTCACTTCTGAAGCATAAATATGTTTCAGTCTAGTCAATTTCTAGTCAATTTTTCACTTAATTTCTGGGGTAAAGTACATATTGCTCATGCCGATATTATTGACTTATCAAATATAGTGAAGTAAAATTTGCTTAAATTCTCTGCATATGATAAGTAGAAATATCAGAATTAACCTTGCTCACTAGTCTTGACAAACAATCTTAATTTACTTATTCAAGAAATACTTGTAATTATGTAATATCAACACCATAAATGGGATTTTAGAAAAAACAGTTACAAAAAACACCGCAACAAGACTCTTTATAAACTATCATAAAAAACACAATAAGAATCAAATGTTCAATTGCTTTTAATTTATTTTCAAACTCATTTTCAAATATTTCCTTCTTTAGTCACCTCATTGAAACATTTGACCCCAAATATAACCTTTGAAAGAACATAGGACATAACCGGTAGTCAAACAGGACCATATTCAGGGTATTCACTGCGATTAAATCACCAACAATAGAGAAACACGGAAATAAGTAATCAAAATAAGTTGACACAATTATGATGCAGCCACAATTCAAATTATCTAATACTTTCAGCACACTTATGAAGAGCACTTAGCCATATCTATGTCTAAATATTTCAAATATTTTTTAATGGTGATAAAAGGTGACTTGACAAGTTAACTTATGTAAAAACTTTGGATGACAAGCAAATCTTGCTTATGTTATTTTAATTGACAAATAAATTATAGCTTCTGATTGCTGAATTTTTGTACTTTTTCAGTTGCTATTAGATATATACATATCAATGTATTTAAATATGTTTTCTAAACTTTTTATGTGTATGAGGATATTAATAAGCATCGATTTGCACCATTCCAATTTTTTTAATCAGATGTCTAAGGGTCTAGAAAATCTACTAAATCTTAGTGATTTATGACGTAGCTATTGCGAAGGTGATGAAACACAGACAGTTGAGGAATTGATGAAAAGAGAAGCCACAACTGACTTAAATTACACATAAAAAAAGCCAGAAAACCTCCTTAAATCCTTTTTAACCTTTGATTGGAATAATATATACTAGTATGTCACTAACCTCATATTTAAATACCCTTATTATTTCTTAAGTCTCTAGTTGTCTAAAAGATCTTTCTACACTAACCAATCCTCAATCTCCCAATGTTGTTCAAATCAAAAACAGACTTCGTGATAAAGTTATTAATATTTCTCATGTCTCTCAGACTAATTAAAATCTATAGACACAAAAAAATATCTTACTAGTCTATTATATAGTATATTTACTCCTGATTACAACATGATATAACAAACAATACTATTTGAAATGAAACAATGAAGCCTACAATCAAAAACTAAATTAATCTTTCTGATGCAGCAGCAGAAGGCAAAAACAACTTGAGTTTGTGAAGACCAAGGCCAGACATTTTTTATTCAAGTTCTGGACTAAAATCTTATAAAAACCATGTGGATGATCGCAAAATATGATTTATTAAAAATTCATTATACAACATAAAAAAAAAACAAAGGACCAACACCCTTATCCAATCAAATTTTTATTTTGTCCATGAAATCCATGATTGAAACATGTTACTTTCTAAGAGACCATAATCCTAAGGTTGGGTAATCTCAAGATTTAGTAGTCAAAGTTATCAAAATTAACACTATTTTCTTCATGTGGCTTACAGAATATCACAGGTCTACATTTGTTAAAAAATTTAATATTGAATCAAGTGTACAACAGATTCTCAGATTAGACGTCAATTGTGAAGTGAGACATACTATTACAAATGAAAAACAGCTGATAGAAATCTGTTTTTAACAAATTACAGACAGAATTCTTTCTAACACACACATTGTTTGAGTTTTTAGTCAAATTTTTGTAAGTTTCAACCACTGAATAACATTGATAATGTATATTACTGAACAAGTTCAAATGTACTTATTCC